GGGGGCTGCCACATGCAAATCAATTATAATAATATTAATAATGAACAGAGAAAAGTGGACCAGGAACATTTTATAGTTGAAAGTGTATACAGACCCGGTAACCGGGAACAAAGTCACAAAATATACAGACCCGGTAGGGTAGCTCTTTTGTGATATCGGAAAGTTTCAGCGCCCTCTTGGCTCAGGGTAGAACTAGGTTCTGTTAGATCTATGGCCTAGGTCTAGATCTAGACAGACAGATAAATCATTGATCTAGTTTCGAGGCTAGCCTAGATCTAAATCTAAATGAAGATTGCGGATGTCTTTTCGATGAACCATCGTTTTTCATCCGTTTTGGAGTTGGAGAAATCACAATTTGAAGAAAAGAACAATGTCATTATAATTTCAATCGAGCAGTCACCATCTCTATCTCCCTCTCCTCTGTCGCTGTGTATCGCTCGCATTCTCTTTTTCTTTGTCTGTCTTTCTTTCTCCCCACCTATTTCCCACTCTATCTTTCTCTCGTTCCCTCCTGCCAACTGGAGCATACATTTTGCTAGCACTTCCCCCTGCTCTCTCTCTCTCTCTCTCTCACACACACACACACTACTGGGTCTGGGCGGGGGAACTTTCCGAAATCACAAAAGAGTTCCCCTACCGGGTCTGTATACACTTCATTTATAGTTTGCTCTGCCCACATTGGACCCACATTGCCAGCCTAGGCTAGGCCTAAGAGGTACCGGTTGCAATAGACATTGGCATAGTATAACACGATATACGAAAAGAACGAAGTGCAAATTTTTATACTGCTGGCTAGTAGCCTACGCAGAATTGATTTTGCTCACCATTTTTCTTGTTACGGGTTTCGATCGAGGCGCAGGGAGTTTTTTGTTTCACTTTAAGTCAAGTGACAGTGAAGTTGGAAAATTTGTGATCTGCCATCATGTAACAACGATTCAAGGAACTCTTTTCTCGGCTGGCCGTATGATCAGGGCAGCAGGCATTGGCCAATCTAATTTCACACCTCTGGCTTCTGGCTACCCGGGAAAGTTTTCGCTACTCTAGCACTTTCACTGGAAGTCGTGAGATTTCACACCCACACTACACTGACCATCTGCATCGCTCAGGGCTCACATGATGGGGTAACATCTACCCCCAAATTTCACCCCTACTCCTTTTCCTCGTCCAGCGGCATGGCCATAGCGTCAAGTTTAGAGCCGGCGGGACCAAACTTGCGAGTTTTGTTTCAAATCAAAGTTGAGCGGGCAAAGCATTTTCTGTCTTAGACAAGTGAAACCCTCGGGAGGGAGAGGATTTTTCTTTCCGTTTCCCCATTCAGGGTGGCCAGGGAAATTTTCTTCCTAAAAATCCTACCACTATAAGTCAAGTTGTCAGTGTTACTGCTCTCGTCAAAGAGAATCACATAGAAGGAGCTATTTCGTACACATCTTAGGATAGCCGACTACATCACTGGGGCAATCCCAATTAATGTTCCAAGGTAGCCACGTTTTGTGCTTCTACACTGAAATCTCAGCTATTTTTCAGCCTGAAAACATCTCATGACTCGTGTCAGCAACTGCTCTAGTTGATTACTATTATATTACTGTTGGTGCTCCTTTCAGTATCCCTCACAACACTTGTTCTGTTCTTGGTAACCTTAAGAATAGATTTGGCACCACACTGGCTGGTTTAGGCTTTCATGTGTTTTTGAGGTACCATGTGAGTGTTCAAAGCTTTTACACCTGAATGACCGATGACAAATACTTGGGAATAAAATTTTCATCTAAACTTGCTTATTTTATCATTTGGATACTCCATCAGTCATTCTGAATACTTAAGGTCGGACAACCACTCAGTGTTGATGAAGTAGCACTTTCCCATGATACTGGATCTAGTCTAGATCTCTCTCTCTCTAATTATAGCCTACATATATATATAGTCACAAAAATCATACATAAGAAAAATAAGTCTGTTTCTAGCCTGGGTTTCAGTATGCCAAGTGCCGTCAATCTTCTACTCTCTAAAGACTATCTTGCTGAGTTTTTCCATGGTCAAACGACTATCACCCATCCAATGACACGCCAACCCTTTAGTTCAATAACACAGCTTACAAGGTATGACGGATCCCGATTCCACACAAGTCCTGCACAACACGCGCTATGCAGAAAGCTCGCGTGGCAATCAAAATTCTAAATGCTAATGCTAAAATTTGCTACCAAGTTCAGTTTTTTCCCCTGGTGTTGCCTTTAACCCCCCCCCCCCCCCGTCTGAGTGTATCTTTTTAAAAAAATCAATAATCCCGCCATCCCAGAGTCCTATACTTCGCAACGCTCAGACTTAGAATGAACTTTAGTGACCCTAACATTCGCGGTACTCATTCGACGCCTTATCATCATGTGGGTGACATACAAATGCGCAGATTCAGTGACCGGTCACGACGGCGAGCCCGACAAAACGCTTGTACAGTGGAATCCTGTTATAACGAGAGGGAGGGGACCGGAGCAAAATGTCCGTTATAGCAGGATTCTCGCTATAAGGGATCTAGTAATAAATTCAAGGGAAACTGTAAAGTAGGCCTAATCTATGAGTTTGGTGTTCTGTTTATTTCCTTTGGCTATCTCCTCTGATGATGATGATTTTGTTCAACATGACCTCTAGGTCTTACTTGATAAAAAATCGAATCAGGTTTCTTTCTCTAGCGCTAGATCTAGCGATGTGGACTGACAGTTCGGCGTTGGCGATCAGAAAGAAAGGGCTCTAGGGTATAGGCTCTAGGCTAACTCGCCCGCTGTGTTTTCCCCCACCCCACCCTGTGGTGCATTCTGTCTGCTTGCGCACGTCACACTTCGCTCCATCCATCACATTGCTGTGACCTCTCCGTCCTTGCATCGGAGAAGTGAGAGGCATGGTAGGCCTTGATAATATAAACTAGGCTTACGCTGGCCTATCATGCAATGCGTTCTGCTTGTTTGCGCATGCCACAACCTCCCTACTCAGTCGCTCCGGCCTTCATTGTTGACACACATGGGCTCTCCCTTTCTTTGTTTTTGGCTAGTTCACCAACAAGTTTCTCAGCTGGCGAGGTTTTGCATTATGTATAATTGGCCTATGCACTGTAGTAGCAATATTCCGCTATAACCGACTCGCATGTTTGTCTGGTAGCGCTATACTTATATAGCAGTATTTTATTTACGGAAGTGGCTATTCTCATCCGGGGTGAGAATAGAAAAACGATCTACCTCTCACCCCGGGTGAGACGTGCCAGCGTAGGCTATTCTCACCCGGTGCGAAACAAGACCTGCTTTTCCTCATTTTGGAATACTGTCTATCGGTGTGGATGATCAGATTGATAAAAGCCAAGAAAAAATTACGTTATAGCACAAAAGTAAGCTAATTTGATCGTCTTCAAAGATGCTACGGCTATTTAACTTTTCGAATCGAGCCGAACTACGCGGGTCGCCATTTTGTTTTGACCGGAAGTTCTCGCGCTACTCCTCTCTCTGTCTCTTTCTCTCTCTCTCCACTGCCCACATACAAAATTGTAGGCCTACGCTTTTAGAGGCTACAGTTATAATGGAACGTTTGTTCACGGCACAGAATTCTACAATTTTTCTGTTATCACAGTGTAGAATTCTGTGGTTTAGGGTGAACGCAAAATTTGTTGGCCTAGATCTAGATCTAGATCTAGGCTATAACGGTGAACGCGCACCGGGTGAGAATAGCCAAAAGACTAGCCTGCACTATTCTCATCCCGGGTGAGAATAGAGGTGGCCTTTATTTACAAAGGTAAAGAGGAGAAAAAAACGGGGTTTTAGAATAGTGTCTTTATAACAGACTTCTCGTTTTTTCCGGACTCGTTTTAAGTGGACTCCACTGTATAACTTTCTTTTCACACAAGTGACAAATATTGATTTATTTTCATAGCGACACAGCCTTTCTAATGCACAAACTGCATGCTACAACAATGTTGTGTTATCAGACTTTTACCGGCAAATTTCAGGGTGGTAGTGAAAGCGAAAGTAGATCTAGATTTTCCCAATCGAGCCTCGGCATCACTCGTACACTTCCGCTTGCCGCCATAGCCGCCTGTTCGCATGAAACGTACTCTCAGACCGGGAAAAGCTGAATGATCGCGACCGACAAAATGAACTTAGGGACGTTATCGGATCTGGTTTTCAAATATTCGAGAACTTTTATGTATTTTCCCGGGTCTTTCACAGGGCAATTTACAGATTTCCTCAAGTTTCCTTTTATTGCCGACGGTAGATTGAAGAATACCGGACCAGCGGACTGACTTTGCCTATGTCTCAACCTTAGGAATTCATAATTTTCCCGTTATCTCAATGGAGAATCTCGGACCGGTAGATCTATTCATTAAAATTTTGTCAGGGGGGAGACCCCCCTGAGCCCCCCTCCTCCACCCCAACCACCCGCTCCACCTACCCGACTTTCTCGCGCAATAATGAACGTGTGGTCCGGTTTTCTTCAATCTTCCCTTGCCGACGTTTATCCAACCATTTCCGTCGGAACAAAATTTTTCCGACAAAAATTCGACTTATCCGACCTAAACAAAAATTTCCTACCAATTTCCGACTTTCCAACTTCCCTGGCCACCCTGCCATTGGACAAGTTTCAGTTTTATACAGGACAGGTAATTAAAGAGATTGAAGAATACCGGAACAGCGGACTGAATTTGCCTCTATTCATTAAAATTTGGCAATTTTGTCAGGGGGGAGTGAACCCCCCCCTTCCAACCACCCGCCCCACTTTCTCACGCAATAATGTACAGTGGTCCGGTATTCTTCAATCTTCCCAAAAGAATGGCGAGTAGATTACCTTGGGTCCTCAAATTCAACGAAAGCAAATGGTGGGCCTCTCTTGTTTTTCAAGTCAATAAATGTGATTTTTCCATATTTGTAAAACAAATCTTCGATATCTCTAGTTCTGATGTCTGGGGGCAAATTGCCGACGTAGATCCTGCTGTCACGAGCCATACTGAAATACAAGTGGGACGTAGGTTCTTTCAAATAAAATCAGCAATTTCCCTAAGCTTTAGCACGCTCCCACTCTTCTTCACAAGCCTATTGTACGCCACCACCACAGGAAGCCAGCAGAGGAAACATGGCGTCTTTCCGTGGCTCTGGGTAAAATAGTTCTTCAAACCAGTTAATTCACCAACAACTGTCAGACGAAAATTGGTTTGAGAGAACAGCTACTAAATAAAAACAAGGAAAAAAATTGAATTTCACGGTTTTCAATCCTCCAAGCTTCACTTGTATTAGATGACACTAAAGCTGTTTGAATTCATACGCTTCGTCTTGTTCTCGTGTTTTCACGATTAAAATCATGTGGTTGCTATCATGTGACCTTTTTGGCGTCAAAATGGCAGCTTTCGTATAAATTTTAATAAATGAATGAACATGCTGAGCATTCTGCCAGTGTCATAATGGCTGTCTCAAGGTTCTGCCTATCTCTTTGTCCTCAAGTGTTCTTAGTTCCTGGGCAGCTGGTGTAGGTGTATGAGGACCCTAGATATGGAGTATCGATTGAAAGTTGACATTCTTTTTTTCTTTAGTTTGTACAACTGGTATAAACAAAATGTTAACATCTTTCAGTGTTTACCAACGGTCCGCAAAAACCGATAAGAAGAGATATGGAAAACACGTAGCATCTCCATTGACTGTGCCTACAACATTTTTATCTTGTGTGTGCCTCTATGTCATCAAGGGAAGGAAAGGCCTATCTTGATTTAATTGATCTTCAATGTGGCAGCAAGGATTTTTTTTCTAAAAATGATAACCTTGTTCTTTCCAAAGAAAAACTGTACCTAACCTGCCTGGTTCTTTCCAAAGAAAAACTGTACCTCTAGTTCCAGACTTTAAGAGATATATGATGTCATTGTCTGAAGAAGAATCGCAAAGTGTGCATGAAAATAACTTTGAGTCAGATACAGAAACAGAAGAAAGGAACAAAGATGTTAAAGCCAGTCAGGAATCTTCTTGTGAAGATCATGTTCAAACTCTGGGCATTAGTGATCAGTCAGCAGCCAGCAAACAAGCAAAGAAGTCTGAGAAAGCTCCGAAACCTAAAGTGAAGATAAAAACTCTTACAATTGATGGACAGCTAGTATACTTTTGTAAAATATGTGACAAGATTTTTACAAGGAGAAAAGACAAACTGAATCATGAGCTGGCTCACAGCGGAGAGTCAGTCCTCACTTGCACAGAATGTGGAAAGGAGTATCTGCATGAATCTAGTCTGGCTTCACATATGCGGACACATTCTGCTGATCAGCTGCACATGTGTGAACTTTGTCCAAAGATGTTTGCTCAGAGCCATCACTTAAAAACTCACATATTGTCTCACTCTGAACCAAATGATTTTACGTGCAAAACTTGTTACGTTGAATTTGCCACTGCTGTAGAACTTAACCATCATATTCGTACTGAAATCAAGCTTGAAATTTCATATTACTGGTGTAAAATGTGCAAGGTTTATTGTTGCAGAAATCATGGCTTGCAGTGTGACAAAAACCTCCATGCATATCAGTGTTCTGCTTGCAATGAGCTGTTTTTCACGAATAAGAAGCTGAGGATACATATGAAAAAGTTTGCTCACCATTCAGTTCAAAAACCAAAGTTCATCGAACCTTTAAAGGAGCATGAGTTGTATCGTGGCAAGTGTGTGGATGGAAACAAGAAATCTTCTGTTCAAGGGGACAAGGAAAATGTGACAAGAAAGCAGATCGTTTATGGAAACAGCAATCTAAACAAAAGATTTGCAAGTGATGATTTAGAAAATGAGCTTCCTCCAAAGAGGTTCAAGTTGTCTCCTCGGAAGCTGTGTGTTGAAGTTGACAATTCGAGTACCTCAATGCAAGAGTCAGCGCCAGAAATGAAGATCGAATTCAAATCAGAAATAAGGTCTCCTGTAAAACAAAGAAAGGTTTGTAAAGTATAATACCATATTCCATTCATCAAGTCATTCATGCTTTTATATTTACAGTCAGTGTAATTTTTTGTAAACTTGATTAAGTTTTGTGTTTTAAAAGGTCATAAGTAGTTTGAATTTTTTAATTGAGAAAGTGCTTACACCCAGTGTGAGCAAAGTTGGTCTTAAAGTTAAAGGTCTAAAGAATTTGATCAAAATTCATTATATGGCTACCCAAATAAAAATAATTTGCCATCAAATGCTTCCCTTCACTTTTGAACTCCAATCTTTAGGCAGCTGCAATATATTTCAGCTTTTGATCTACTTTATAAAATAGAATAAAATTTGGATTTGCTTTTTTTAAAAATACACTATATGTTATAAAATTGTGTTGATGATGTTTATTATTTTTCAAACTTATAAACAGGGAAAACCCTATTGCAAGAGATGCAACAAATCTTTCAAAGACACACATGACCTTGATCGTCACAAAGTACAAATCCACGAGGAAAAGCAAAGTGCAGCATCTTGCGAAATATGTGGAATGGAGTTCGCATCAAAGGATGAGCTAGCAAAACACAGTACAAAACACAGTGGGGAGAGGATGCACGCATGCCCGATGTGTGGGAAAGAGTTCCTTCACTTGATCCACCTTACCAAGCATCTGAGGAGCCACACAGGGGATTTCCCGTACAAATGCAGCACGTGCAAGAAGGCTTTTAGGCTCAAAGTAAGTTGTAAAAATTATTGTATTCACATCGGTGCTCACTTTATCATTATTGTCTCCTGAATTTTGTTTGTTTTGTTTTGTTTTCTTTAAATTCTTACTGGAGTTTTAATATCGTAAATCATACTATAGTCCGTTCACTTTCCTGTGCCCACAGTTTTTTTGCAATTTTTTGAAAAAACTGTGCTTTGCTTTCTTGCATACAGTCTTATATTTTGACTGAATTAAAGGTTTTCATGTCTTTTAATTAATCTGCATGTTAAATGGTTTACTCAAAGTGGCAAATTTATCACATGCTTGCGGACCTGAAAATTCAATTTTACAGCTACAAAGGCATTAACTCTTTTAGACCGGCATTATTTACCCTGGATTCACCGGAATTAAATCATGGCTGACCAAGGGAAATCATATATGTTATTTTCTTTTGTGTTTTTAGTGTGTTTCCCTGTTAGTAATGTACGCATATTATACATCATTGTAAAGGGCATTGAACGTAGAATAGGATTAGTATAAAAATATTGAAATTCAAAGAAAAATGTGTTAGTTTTGAAGACCATTACGACATCAAAAAAAAGGAGAAAAATGAAAAAAAAATTTCTTCTTTCCGTGACAAAGTCAGATTCACCAGTTTCTACTCCTAAATCTGTGTTATTGATAGGTTCTCTCAGTAATTCACTTGCTTTCTCAGCAGTGTGCCTTACCAAGCGTTTACATGACGACACAGAAGGCTTTTATTCTTCGGCATAGTGAAAATTTCAGAAACGACACACAAACCCCAACGCAAAACAAAGCTCAAAACTCGCATCAACGCACTGTAAACAATTGAAAAGCCCCGCTATTTCTTTACAAACGGTGGATGTGACCTTTAATCCACGCTAAACCCATCGGAGAAAACTAGTATCGGGTTCATCTTCGTCTTTAAATAAGGAAATAAAAACAACACTGTATGTGTCGTCCCGGCTGATGGCGGTCGGCGGAAACAACACAGTATGTGTCGTTACGGCCTATAAGAGTTGAGCCATTGAATTTTCTAAACACATTTTAGGTGGCTCCAGAGTATGGGAAAAATGTGAAAGCCCAGTAATCAACGCTGAGCTTGAAAAAAAAATTAAGCTGAATTATAATACAGACAGTGGACAAAGTTTTCCCCTGTAAGCTCTAACAACTGGTGAGTTCCAAAACAAAGCTGTTTGTTTTCCTCAAAGCTATTCTTTCAAATTTAGAAGATTCTTTTTTCATCCCTCTTTCCATTTATTTGTCTTTACATGAATGTCTCATTTTGAGATACTGCCAGACGTGACCATTTTTATGCTGATGTGTTTTTCATCCGCTCCAACAAACACATAGATAACTGTTCTTTTCAGCAGCTGGGACATCAAAACTCATAGAGACAAAGAGATTAGTAGCTGAACCTGTGAGTTCTCAATATCCATATAGAACATCTCATAATCTAACATACTCACAAATGTTGACTACTCGCCAGATTCAGCTGATCCAACACGTACGACTTCATGTTGCCCAGGACACCAACGCCTGCGACAAGTGCACGGCTAAGTTCACCTCAAAGCAGGAGCTGCAGGAACATATGGTTCAGGCTCATGGAGAACCTGACTGTTTCAAAGTAAGTGGGACGCCTCTCCCATGTCGCTTGTATTATGTATTGCTTTTAAGCTTTACGTAGTTTTACCCATGGGGGGGGGGGGGATTTTCACACACATGAAATCTTGAATATTTTTTCACCCTTATCATGTGACTAGCAAGTGTTAAGACCAACTAGTCATGAGTGTGTGTAACTTCCAGTGGGTCTTTCAACGAAATGATATAGGACATCAGCACTTAATGCTTCAGAAACACTGTGGAGTCTGCTGAAACCGAAATCTGTAGGATTTCTTCAGTTTACCTGTGTTTTTGGTTAAAAGTGGTTGCTCAAATAGAAACAAAACTGGGTATTTTATTTCCTTTTGGTTTACCACTGTTTTTGAAGTAACCGTGTTCGGTTTAAACGAACTCCTCTGTATTTCCAAAATGATCAGATGTTATGTGCAGCTAAATGATTTAAAAGCAAAACTGAGTAAAGGGGCTTCATGTACTTGCACAGACAAAATGTTCTTTATTTTGTGTGTCAATATCATACATCGTTGCGATTTTAGTGTCCATTCCACGTGCCCTTGGAGCTGGTTGTTCAGAAACATTGTCTATGATTTGAAATCCACGAAGCTTTTTTTAGGAATTTCTGAAAGTTTCTACTGCTCCAGACAATTTTTGTTTGACGGATCGTTTATGGTTTCATTACATTGTACTGTCAACAATTTGAAAAAATCTAAAAGATCTTGGCTTTACCCTTACGGGTGTGTTTTGGTCATGATGAGAGACACATCCTTTGCCTTGTTCTTTGATTTTCTCTTTGTAACCAGATGGAAGCGAGAGTGTATCTGCTTGTGACTTACCTACCTATACCCTTTAGTGGACTGAAAGCACACCTGAGTGTGCAGTGATGTATCTCTAGCTTTCAGGGCATTGGGGCTCAGGTGGACAGGTCTTGTAGGCACAGGCAGACTTGCCAACATGTAAGCTATTGCGTATTCTAGTACGCTAAACTGTCTGCAAAACGCAAGTACAGGTAAAAACGATCAAATACACATCTTTTAATTTTCTGGTAAGCATGATTGCAATTGCTCAAAACCCGTTGTCGAGCCCTACTCGGAACATAAAACTTGTGTCAGGTCTCTACCTCTCCTTGTGGAAGGCCTGAAAGTTGTCGGTGTTGCCTGATTCTGCATAATTCGAGTACTCATTGTGAGTTGAGAGTATGCGAACTATTGCCGATACCTCGTGTTTTTCTCCATCAATTATTGGCTTAGGAAATTAACCCTATCTGTACGCACTGGGGTCATTTTGTACCCCCGGGTTGTATTCTTCACATGTTAGAATACTTCTTCTAGTACGAAAATCTCTTTGATACTTTCTGCATTTCTCAAAAAATCATTTTGACAGACTGCTATTCAAGGCGTACGGATCGGATTAACAAGAAAATTTCCTTTTTGGAAAGTGGTGGCACAGAGTTCCCCACGTCGTACGGATACGATAGTAAAACACGACGTACGGATAGGGGTTAATTAACATTCAATGATGGAATTATGTTTGCGTTCAGGCCTTTGTTTTGTTTTGTTTTTAAATTGCTGAAATCCCTGTGTGTTCTGGTTTCTTGGTCTTGAAATGTCAACAGAGCCTCAGCTATGTTGCAAAATAAGCATTTCATTTTCAAAATAAGCAAAATCATGATTCCCTGGGCTGAAAAATAAGCAAAGTGAATTTGGGGGTTGGCAAGTCTGGACAGGGGAAGCAAGGCTTATAGGGTCCATAGAATTGTGATGTTTTAAAATAAGATAAATCACTATTAATAACATGAATTGCTGTGTCACTTACTGATTTAAACAGAAGAAGTTTTATCTTTTAAAAATATACCTTGTCCCCAAAGCCATTTTTTCCCCATTCCCATTTATCTAGGGAAGAACAGATGACCTGGTCTTGACAGAATTGCTCTGAGATGGTTTAGGTACTATTTTCTTATTTTATGCTAATAACCATTTCAAGCTACAATAGGTATTATATGAGCTTTGTATTTGCTTTTTCTTTTCAGTGCCATCTGTGCAGCAAAACCTTTTCCTTCCGCTACAAGTTGATTAACCATCTGAGGCTGCACACCAACGTGAAGTGCTTCCAGTGCTACATCTGCCACAAGTCGTTTGCCACCAAGCACTACTTACAGCGCCACTTGCAGATACACATCAAACAAGGGATGGAAGTCGACGTGAAGAACATAATTGTGGACCAGGATTCTAAAACAGAGCTGGATCATTCTCACGACCAACAGGAGCGTTGTGTTGGAGACACCTGGAGCACAGCCGAGGGTCAGAGAGTACTGGAGAAACATTGCGCTGGTGTGAAGAGAGGAGAGGAAGTCTTGCCAAAATCCCAACCTGAGAATTCAGATAGCAAATGTATTTCAGAGAACTTTGAATCAAGGAGCACTTTTGTGAGTGAAAGTGCCTCTAATTCAAGGAATTATGATCTCAATTGTACGCATATCAAGACTGAACCTGTCGATAGAGACAGTAGTTCAGAACACAGTGTTTGTTCGTCTTTAACCAGGCATTCAGACAAAAGTGATCCGTTCAGGTTTTCTTCAGATGGATCGACATCTTTCAAGACCACTATGGCCAAAGAGAGAATAAGGATTCGGAGACGCTGGAAGAAAATGCATCTGGCCAGGAAGGCCAAAGCCTTACAGAATGTTGAAAAAGCTGCTCTGGAATTGAAAAAGGAAACTGTTTTTTCTGAAGTGAAAATCGAAGATGAAAATGAGAATGGCGATGAGGCTGCAGACTACCCACCAACAGATATGGTGGTGGAATTGAATGGTGTGTGCTCAGAAGTTGATAATGTCCTAACACTGTATGTTGATGTGACTGAAAAGAAGCCCCCTCTGCTTCCCATGAAGCAGGATGCGTCAGTGATTGCTGCTTTGGAAAGTCCCGAAAAAGTTTCCGCGAGCAACAAGCTGAATGATGATGTAGCATTCTCAAATGCTTTAGTTTTGGACATAGACATCAGTGACAGCGATCTTGATGCTTTGAAATGTGGGTACAAGTCATTTAGTTCTCTTGATAAATCAATATCCGTTTCTGTTGCTTCCAGTAATACCACCTCCACATCAGAATTGCAGGGAAAATCTGTTGACAGTAGTAAATCAGAAGCCACACCAAGTCAGTTCTTGTCTGAAAGTCTACCTCAGGATACTCTTTGTTTCCCAACAGATTTAGGCAAGAAAGAAGTGAATGCAGTGAGAGAGAAGACCCACAGTAACAGAAAGAATGAAAAGCCACAAGTCCCCTCTGTTGTAGTTCCCACTGTTGCAGGGACACTTAAGTCTGGGGCAGCGTCAAAGGACAACTACTCTTCACAAGCCAAGACAGGAAAAACAGGACACGATGTCGAAGTATCTTGTATTCCAGCGTCAGCACAAAAGATGGTTTCAAGAAGTGCAACGAGCAGCAAACTGCTCTCCCCTGGGAAGACTTCACTGCCGTTGCCTTCGAGCAGTAAGTCTGTGTCAGGTAGTGCACAATCAAATCCTGAACGTTCTGGTATAATTTACCCGGCTACACCCGCCCCTACCCCACTTAGCCAGATGCAAGCAATGATCTGTATGAACCTGGGGAACATTCAGCACAGCACTAAGTCGCTGACCTCCTCGAGACAGTCTGTCGTGACCACGGCCGCAGACACAGCGTCGAAGACACTCCAGTTAGTGCCATCCTCTAGTGTCTCTCTCGCCAGCCACTTGTTGACCCCGCCTGTCTCGTCCGGTTTGCAAGTTCCTCGTACACCAGCTCTCTCTACGCCAAGTGCTTCATCTGTCCTCTCTAATTTTCATTCACCTCACAAGCTTTCAGTTTCCTCATGCACTTCTATGGTCCGAGGCCAACATGCGACCCAGTTTACAACTTGCCCTTTATCGATTGCCCCCAAAACATTCAATTTTTCGGCACACTCATCTATGGCCCCTCTAACGTCCCAGTTTTCTACACATGAATGTTCAGTTGCCCCTCAATTTACCTCCCAGTCTGCACCTTTAGCGCCTGTAGTACAGCAGCTTTCAGGCCCACCCTCCCTCCCACCTCTTTTACCAGGCCCTCCTGCTGCTCCCCATACACAACACCAAACTGTCCCTACACCTGCCTCTTCTTACATCCCCACCTCAAGCTTGTCTTCCCTGCACATTCCAGTTCCAAGCAGCCACAGCTCAGGATCAGCTTTTCACGGTGTTGGTATCGCTCCTAGCCACAGTTTCTCCGTTCCCATGCAGACTCTACCTCCAGCTCCAATCTTTACCTCACTGGGGTCGAGTAATATGGACAGCCTCGGTGGTGTGACCTTGAACCCACCGCAGCTACTGTCTGGCCCGGGCCCTTCCCTGGCTGGGGTACCTTCCAGCCTTGGCCCACCCTCTGGTCTTCCCTCTCTTCAGCAGGCTGCAAGTGGAAATGTAGATTCGAACCCTTTCACTCTGGCTCCTCCAGCAACCATTGACACGAACAATCCCGTTTTGCGCAACATGAACATGATGGATTTAGTGAGTCCGTCAGGGGGCAGCAACTCTTTCAATGTGGCGGTTCCTGGTCCCACGCCCGATTTAATGCGGAGCAGCTTCAACACGTTGAGACAAGGACCTGCGGGGATCCTAGAACCCCAGAGCTCTGTTCTTCAGCCAGGCCATCTTCTGAACGTGTCGTCACGGAATTTAGGTGGTGTCAACATTGGAAGTCAGGGTCTCTCAAGTTTTTCTTCCGCTTCGAATATTCATCAACTTCCTGGTGCTTTTAATCCTGTGCCTGGGGGATACATGCATAACTCTCTCCTCAGCACTGGGCAAGGCATGTCTGGAGACCCTCTCTCAAATGCTAGAAATATGCCAAACATTCTACCAGACCCCAGCCTCAATTTTTTGAACAGCGTACAGAATGCCAGTCTCGGCTTTCCTGTGGCTCATCCCGTTGGGCCTACCGCCAACAGCGCTTTTCCGTTCGGTCAACTTGGTGCTGCCACATTTGCTCCCACTCCTGCTCCTGCCCCCACCATCAACTTCGGAGGCTTAACCATCCCCTCTGTGGACACCAGGATGCCTTCCATAAATTCTGGTATTCTAGACCCTTCCGTCTTCAGCATGGGTGCAAGCCGGCACCCCTTACCGGGCCCCCCTACCCTGGGTATGCTCGACGTACAGAGATTTGCCGCACCTGGACTTCATTTTGACGTACCCAGGGTGGTGGATACAAATTTTGTTGCTAGCCAGCTGGGTTTGGCTGGAGCAGTCAATCCTACCTTCCTGCCTACAAACATGACAAATTTTCCAAACATCTGACTTGGTGCTCCACCAAGCCAGTATTTTGAACAGTTCGACAAACAAAGAACCAAAGATCTGTGTTGTACAGGTTATACTGTTTGACATGCTGCAATATGTTTTATTATCTTCTTTTTTATTTAGTTTCATCATTGGTGTTGTTTGTTTTTGTTAAAAGTATACTTTGACGATGTGCATATACACTTGAGACTTCATTGATTGTAAATATTGCTTTCAATCTAGTTTTCTCTGAGTTAATGTATTTATACGATGTTATTTACTTTGTGTTGCGTCAAAAGCATTTACATTTTTAGGTTTGTATACCTTATACTGAAAACCTCAGGCACACAGTATACACTTTTATACATCCAGTTCCTTCAAAACCAGTTATTTTGAAAATGGTTAAGGCCTCACTGTAAGCCGATTTAGGTTTACAAATTTTAATAATGAAGAGCCCTTCATTTTACAGAAGCTGTGGGTCCCTTTTTATATACGCAGTCAGTGTAATGTTCTCCACTATGACTGATGATGATAATATTGAATAACTATAGTTTGCATTGTGTCTTCCATGTTCCATACAGTAGTCTTTTCCTAAACGTATGCTATACAAAAGCACGCTCCGCTCAAACGCACGCTTTCGTCATCTGACGGGTTTTTTACTATATAATTTTTTAGACGTACAAACGTGCGGTCACTCCCTCTAAACGCACGCTCCGATCCGCGAAATACGCCGACAAGTTAAGCTTGGCAAGGGGAAATTTTCATTACAACCTGCACAGCCAGCATAAGACAAGCCAGGAATTTACTAGAAAACCGGATATATGGTGAGAGTGCCCCTCACGCCGTACAAAGAGAGTGATGGACCGTGTTTACCCACCCTACTTTCCACTGACGCATAGGTCTTAGTCTGGGGCTGGTGGGTTAAATGTTGGGGGGGGGATTGGGAGGACTGAAATGTTTTTTGATTGGTCACTGGAAATGTATCTTTGAGAGAAGGTTTCTGACTGGTGTTTGAGTGAATGCGTGTAATGTTTAGTTAAATCTAGGCCTGATGCACGACACGCGCGAATGCCATAAAACACTAGACAGGCCTCTATAGGATTTTAAAGATTAGCCAAGTAAGCCTAATCAGCTGCACTCGAAGAACTAATAACGTACATGTTCAATGAATCACAAGAGAAAATGTTTCTCGGGGATGATTCTGCATGAATTTACGGTCGGGGGTGGTCGCTTGGAAAGCCACGTGGCAGGTCCGTCTTCTCTATGACTATGACCAACAGTTTCCTCTTAGGCTATCTGTTCCTGATGTTTACAGTGCATATTCATTACTTTGAGTTTGTCTTTCTCCCCCCCACCCCCCAATTCGACGCCTTTGTATTCTTAACCCCTGTCTAGGAATCCTTCACAAAACAAACACGTGTCGTCACATTATCTGCCAAAATGACCCCCTCCTTCCAACGGAGGTCACTAGAGTAATAAGGAATTGAGATGACTGCGTCCCTTCCTCCCCTTGCAAAGGTTCATGTAAACACACGCTCCGTATAAACACACGCTAAGGAGCCCTCCCGAGCACCGTGCGTTTAGGCGGAGACTACTGTAATGGGTTGGTGCTCCCTTACCACAGTTTACTGTCCTTAAAAACGCAATATTAGTGTAGCAAATACTTTTCCTGAATGTGAGTGTGTATGTGTGTGTGTTTGTGTCAAATTGTGTGAGCTGGCTGACTCTGTTAAATGAAAATTGCAATCACCATAAGAGCCTTGAGCATGTTGTTCTACTGTGAAAATTGCAACCTGATCTATTCATGATTGTCCTCCAAATACACATCGTATGTCTTTTAGCTTGAACTTTCAAATGGTGCAACATTGTTGTCTTGCTTCTGCAGGAATCAAAAGGCAATAATTTGAATAAACCAGGCCTGTTGGTAGAGAAAAATGTTAAAAGCTGCCGGCTTGGATGAAAGTGAGAGCAAGCTAATAAAGAATAAATAATAATGTAGAATACAAAATAGATTTTCATGAATATAAATGTAATTCCTCGCTTTGAGTGAACAGCAGCAACGTTTTTGTGATTTAAAATAATGTCTTTCGTTTTTAAACTTTAGAAATATTGATTTACGCATTCTTTGCTAAGAATACACACCGAAGTTTGGTCCTTGATATTGGCGTGTAAGCTTGCTACATGAAGTAGACTGAATCGACAGCACAAATCTGGAAACTCATTTGTTTTTGTACTTTTGCCCTAGTTTTTTGTTGTTGTTGTTGTTTGTTTTTGTCTGGTTCTGCTGGACATTGCTTTCATATGGCAGGGATATTTAAGTTTTATACTTTAAATTTCTACCCTCATTTTGTGTACCTTTACCTTTATTACCATCATGTATTTACTTAAGTTTTATATATGTTCTGTTCACGGTCAATTTTCCAGGTATTAAGTAACTTCTGGAAGCATTTATTGACTCAGTTCGTACACATCAACCTGTTAATTTTGGTATGCAAGGAAAATCTGACAATACAATATATATTTTTTTTTGTCAAGAGACAATCACAGGAAGGACAAACAAAGCCACGAAAAGAAACTGCTTAGCACCTTTTTTAGGAGTTATGAAAAGTATCTTTTTTTCAATGGTCAACTTTGTTCCTCTTGTATTACTTCATAGGGCTTCCTCAAGTTTTCCTACTAGTTGGTGGTTGGCGGGTGCTCTGGTGTGGTCTGGTCCTTCTTTCCTATCAAACATCTATCTTCCTTATTACTCCTCCTTTTTTGTGTTTGTTACTATCTTGTAATACCTCTAATCTTCGGCACTTATATGACCATATTGTGTTGCAAGTGTCGTAAAACTCTTGATAAAACTAAAACTTTTCCTTTCTACTGACTTATCATGTACATTGTACTATGTTACTATGTTTTTTTTATTTGAAAGAAACTGTGATTTTGTCACCTTTGATCTGAACTCAAAAGTCGGGGAGAGTTCAGACTGTGGTTTTGTCTATTCTTCCTGTAAAACCTTCATTTAATTCTCTGCATACTATTGTTCACTGGGTTTTTGTTTTGTTTTTTGTTTTCTTGTGTTTTGCCTATTTCGTATTTTGTGAACATTTTGAATTTGCGATTTGAGTTGGTAAGTCTCATGCATGTTGTCTGATGTATTCCTAAATGTATATTAGGATACAGTCATCTCATTTTCAAGTGCAGGTGAATTTCAGTGTAGTGCAGAAAAATCTTTTTAAGAAAATACCGCCAGCGTTCTTTATACACAGGGATCATGCTAGTGCTCACTGACGTGACATTACGTAACAGGTTCTATCTGAATTTTTATGAAATGAATGAATATATATTTATATACTCGTATTGAACAATAATGCTGATTGTTTTAACATATCATGAATGACTTTAATACGTGGATTTCTTGATAATCAGAAAATCACGAATTAGAGTGCAAAACAACTGAGTATTCAGTATTCAATCGTTTCCCTTTATTGATAAATGATTTCCTGTAATTTACCGTACAATTTTGATACGCAAAAACAAAAAGAATGGAGAAAAGGGAAAATGTGTCTTTCCAAAATATTCTTTCCTACCTTTGTCAAACTGAGATTTTCTATGGTTTGGTTGAAAAAGTCAATTTGATTGTCCTCTGTATGCACTAGATTGTTTTCTTGTGTTTTGGAAAGATATGTGTACTTTCAACGCTTGCTGGTGCTGTCTACATCCTTCATCTCAATCTGTAATTTAGTATTTTTCTGCAGTCAAATGTAAAGTTCGTCTCAGTGGCATTATTATACTGTGTGGAATCAGTAGTATATATATGTGCTGTTTTAAGCACTGCGTGAGTAGTATTTGAAAGATGTAGACTGTGGCAATCCCTGTTTAGCTGAGGGGCTTTTCTACTGTTATTACAAAGATGGTTTACTCTGAGAAGGTCGGGTCACTTCAACTACTTTCTATCCCCATCGTCTTGATGCAAAGACAACACTTGCTGCAATAGGATATAAAACGTTGATAGAACTCACCAGTTTTTTGGTCGCAGTTAGAATATGTAAAACAATGTAAATGAGTTGAGATTAACATCTTTTCGTTAACATTTAACAAGACTCAAGCTTTGGTAAACTGGCGTATTGTCACATCATCTTTGATATAACAACGAAGAGAAAATAGTCATTATCACAACCAGATCTTCTATGGACTGTACTGAATTCCTTAGACAGAAAAGGGTGACTATGTAATTGTTGATCTTTTTATCATCGTTTTATTTGGATGTTGACTCGTAATCTTGTAAATATTAGATCTATACTTACCCTATGCATATTACTGGTATCCTACTTACATGGACTAAAGAGCAACTTTTTTTTTTCGTCTGATTTTCATGAAGGTACTCCATTCTCTGATGATATCTGTTTTTCACAGGTATCAACATTTTTTCCCCCTTCATTCTTGTTAAAAGGCTGAAGTCTTGATTTTGATTATGTGGAGTTCATACAATGTTCTCTAGATGTAAATGTGGCCTACAAAAAGAAAAAAATAAGTTCATATTTAAAAAAAAAACGCAGGCGAAATATGAACAGGGCATTTTTTGGTTATTTTTTATGTTCAAAGCAAAAGTCTATTGAAATTTCAGTAAAAAAATCACTATAGTTGGGCACCGATAACACAAACACGGAAAACTTGAAATCAGGGATAGCTGGTACAATTTGCCATTTCCCGACTGATATATATCTTTAATTTTTCGTTTTATAGGTTTACTCGAATTATGGCTGTGTCGAACACATTTGTCAATCTCTAACGTGTTTGAGTTATCCCTACGCAATTGTATTCAGTAAATAGTGTTAAAGAGAAGTCAGTGACCTCTTAGAGTGTTTTTGCTGAGGAATCTCAAATGGTGAAAAAATTAGATATGAAACCCCCCTAGGTTTTACTGTATCGAACATTTAAGTGTTGTCATTGTGTCATTTTATTTTCCTTTTGTTTTTATTATTGTCTTCCTAATTTGTTTTTCTGTTAGGAAGACTACATTTTCTCTTTGAAATTACTGAAAATTTGCAACAACCCATGTCCCCCCCCCCCCCCCATCTGTTAAACCCTCTCTGCTTCGAGAAAAGACAAAGTTATGGCAAATACGAATGTATTCTGACACTTTTCCGTAAGTAGTTAAGTTTTTAAAAACTTTATTTTCAAATCGCAGCTTTCCTGTCTTGAAATTTGAATCTCCTAAATCTAATGTTGTACGCAGTCATTTGTGGTGCAGAATAAATTATTTTGAAAATGCATGGTCTTTGAAACTTTTGTGTTGTTGTCCAAATTGTTTATTGATGAATGTGTTTTAAATTGACCCTGTGTACTTGGTCGTCTGCCTCAGCACACCTGCATTTACCTTTCCTCTCTCCGAACACATGTATCATCAGTGTGTGGTGATGTATATATATATTATACAGTTGAACCTGTCCAAGATGAAATTGCAAGGGAGCCAGACAAAAATTTGGTCATAGACATTTTCCATATCTTGGAAATTTTGAGGGAGGGGGCAGAATCAATACAGTAGTCTCCGCCTAAACGCACGCCATACAAAAGCACGCTCCGCTCAAACCTGGCCCTCCAGGAAATCGCGCAATAAACCCGCAATTTTTTTGCAATTTTTGCAATTTCTTGCAATTTTAGGCAAAAATACATCAACGCTTTAATTTTA